TGGAAAATAGAAGCAATTCCACTCCTTTGGAATGCCCAAAAACTTGCTTTCCCAAGCATGTAAAACTTTCTGTTTCTTTTAGTCAGTTTCTGTCACCAGCTGGCTGGGTTTTTGATTTTTTTTTTTTTTTAATATGTTCGTATGGGTTTTGTATGTGTGTTTGTTTTATCTTCAGGAATTTCAAAGTCCTCTGAAGTCCTTGAAATACAGATTTCTCTGTTGGAGTGGGAGATTAAATGGCATTTGTTAAGGCAGTTTCAGACTTCTAATTTCTTGACAGCTTTTCCCAACAGTTGTCATTTCGCTCAAGATAAGACATTAAGAATATTTGCCACAGTGTGTTTCCTTTACCATTTCTCTAACTTTGCTTTTACTTACACCGTATCTAATTAAGCATTTCTCAGCAGCTGGACACCTAAATAGAATCAAGACCAAACAGAGTCAATGAAAGTGATGAAGATTAAAAGGCTTTTAGACAGTGAACTTTCCCGTCAACCCAGGGAATCCCTTAACCTCAGTCTGGAGCACAGGATATAAAACGACTCGTATCGATCCTCCTCCAGTTTGACCAGTGCATCACAACTACCACGTTGTACCCAAAGCAAAGTAGAATAGATCAGAACCCTGAGAAAAACATGCAGCCTTATATCTCTGTTCCTGGAGCAATGTTATTAAGTCTTTCTTGGTTTTACGCTGTTTTGCTCAAGTATTTGGCCTTGGCTGCTGCAATTGGAAAGTGTGACACATGATCCCTAAAAGCTCAAAGACCAGAACACAAGAGAGGAATAGAAGTGTGCTGTAATTTTCAGTCTCATTCTTCTACAGTCTCACCCCCAAACACACAAGGTCTAGAAACCGCTCTAAAGTAACAAGAATTCGATGTATGTTAAGCATATGAACACACTGCGTGCCCACATTTTCATTAAGCAGCTGTTCCTAAGCTAGAGAAACTTTTCCTATATTTCAATTGCAAAATGAAGGTAGATGTGTTACAATTTCTTTTTTTTTTTTTTTTCCTGCTTGGAGCTTTCCAGTGAAAAAGGGAAGCTCATTGAAACAGAAATTTTGTCCTTACCAGAACCTTGGAAATACTAAGAGAGGTAGATTAAGACTTTCACAGCCCATTCTCACAACACTAAATGAAATAGCTCAAACACACTGTGATTCAGGTTTGATCTAAAGAAAGCTCTGTGTCGGTTTATTCCAAATTCTTTCGTAGTTTGAGGATAAATAGCAGGTATTGCTTGCACTTAATTAACTGACGAGTTTTTCGGTGTTGACAGTGCCCTCTGAAGTCTTGAAGGAGTACAACAGTTGCATTCTGTGTAGCCAGTTGCAAGTAAATCTGCTCTTAGCACCGCAGAGCATTTGCAGCAGATGCCTGCCTGCAGCACTGGCCGTTCCCATTTGTCTCAGGTGGATTCGTCCCCTGCCCTCCAACACATCCTCACTGCAGCTCTTCTACTGAAACCTGATGGCTGAGACGGGACAGCGCTGTGTAGTAATAAATGACCAACCAAAACCTCAGGGGGAGCAACGCAGTCATTTTGTTGAACTTTACATTTAATTTTTTCCCTAAATACTTCAAAGATGCTCCATCTTAAAATCTTGAAATTTTTCAAGGTATCTGCTAGTTCTTGTGGTTTGGATTTGGTTTGGTTGGTTGTTTGTTGTTTTTTTTTTTTCCTTGCATTCCCTCATTCCATTCAAAATGGAAAGAGCAGCAGAGCAGAGCACAGGTGAAGATTTTTGAGTTCTGAGTGATGTGACGCAGTTTTCAGTACTTCATATTCCTTTGTTCACCCATTCTAACATTTCGTTTTTCTAAGCAACAGTTTTCAGCAAGCTATTTAGAGTGATCCCAGTTTATTTATGAGTTGGTCTGAGTCTGTCAGACATCACAAGAAAATTTAAACTAGTCCCTTCCAGTGTTTAAGCCAATCAAAGTCTCCAGCTGCTCACTCTGCTGTTGGATGAGGATAAACCTCTGAGTAGAGTGGAATCAGTTGTGGCAGGAAACAAGCTCCTCTCAGAAGTGCTGAGTTTACAGAGTGCAACTGAGGAAATCAAATTCTTTCATGAAGACTTAATTTGAACTCACCAGATAAAATGGATTAGAAAAAACGAAAGGTCTTTCGCATCCTACGCCATTTGCTGACTTATATTTGAAAAGAGTGCTAATGGGACTTAACAGTTGGGGTGAGTATCAAATATATTCCTTACGTATTCAATAGTATAATCTAAATACAGAGGGAATGGCATAGAAAAGGGCACTGCAATCTCTGACTGCGCTCAATAAATTCAGTTGTTTTAAGCTTTTAATTGTTTGCTCTGTTTTTGGTTTTATGTGTACTTCTGTCATTCCCTTGGAAAGTAAAGGGCACTTCACATGTTAACTGTTTACTTACATAATGTGCTGAACTGTGGCTGATGTTCAGTGATTACTTCTCTGCTTGCAAGACTAACTCCATGTAAACTAAACAAAATCACATTAAACATATCATAGTACATTCTAGTCTAATTAAATCAGTAAATGGCAACCCTGCAATAATATATTTTTTAATTGTTAGGAATCTGCTAGGAAAATGAATTCCTTTAAAACAAAGTGTTCGTAGAAAAGCAGATGTGCAGCTTGCTAAAATTAAGGAAAATAGATTACCTTAAGAAGTCTCTAATGAGTCCCAGTAGGAGAATTAGGAAACTAATGAGCAAAATTGGAAAATAAAAACTCTCTTGTAATGCCAAAAAAAAAAAAAAAAAAAAGGAAATACATGCAGGAGTTTTGCAACATGATGGAAAAGAGTATCAAGCCTACCAGAACCTTTGTCTCATTTTCACTTCTGACTCCACTTTCCACTCACTTTGTCTTTCTGTCAGCTCTGCTTGCATTCATCTAGCAGACTGTGCTGTTCCATGTAACACCCAAGCAGGGTTATCTGGTAGATTCTGTGATCAAAATACATGGGCTGCTCTGAAAGTAATGCCTCCTAACTTATGATGTTGGCCCACAATGTCAGAGGCTGGTATTGGTGGGATGGCAGTAGGGGTTGAACCTTCCCATCAGCATCCTGTTCCATTTTGTCACCATGCAACAGATGGCAGCAGAGAGGAGTCTGACAAAATGGTGTCTGACATGGCAGTGTGAGCGGAGCAAAGGTACGTCATTGAATTCCTCCATGCTGACAAAACAGCACCCAGTGATACTCATCAACATTTTCTGGACGTTTATGGAAGTCAAGCAGTGGTGGTGAGCGCAGTGATCTGGTCATTTCAGCAGTGGTGATGGTGGCCTCTGTTGGTGCGGGTTTTGAGGAGCTCAGTGCGCAGGCTGCTGCTCATCACTAACAGAGATGCAGAGCTAATGGTTGTGACTGTGTTGAAAAATACTGCTTTGTAGCTGAGAGTTTGCTCTACCGAAAAGTGTTATTGTGCTCTTTGTATTTGTTGAAATTTCCATGAGTAAATAGAAGGCATTAATTTCAGAGCAACCTACAGATATTGCAGAATCACAGAATGGCCAGGGTTGGAAGGGACCTCAAAGATCATGAATCTCCAACCCCCCTGCAACATGCACAGCCACCAACCTCCACATTTAATACCAGACCATATCTGTAATCAAATTAAAGACCTCCCATTGCCTATCACAAAATTTTCATCAAATCATTTAAAGGATACATCTATCTACAGCCACTACTTTAACACAGCTTGGGTCTCAATTTCCATACGGCTTTGAGCTCTACCAGCTGCATACCACTGGAGATACAGACACAGCAGCATTCAGTTCCCAGTACATCCCTCCTGCTCATCTCTGTATCCCTTCTTTGGACAGTAATTCTTTATGTACTTCTTATGGTGCCCAAAACTCCTCGCAATGCTCGAGGTGATGCTGTACGAGCAGAGTGGAAATGCCCTACTTCGAAAGCAGAAGCTCTTCATCTTTTGTCTCCACTAATTAAACTGTCACAATCTGTTGAACTATTTGGCTTCACTGCTTTTTTTTAATACTGCTAGTAGCTTTTCACTGACAAAAAGCTACACATAAATCTGAAGATTGGCAGAACGTCCACAAGGAATGTTTCATAACTCTGACACATCATAAAACTGCTGCACATGGAAACAATCATTAACTTTGAACTTCAACAGCATTATAAATCTAGAAGAAAATGAGAGCAAAATGGTAATTGGGTTTGTGTGCTCCGTGTTGCTGCACAGAGCCACTCAGAGGTTGTCCAGGGCCAGTGACTTTCATCCAAGGTACATGGCCAGATTCAACAAAGGGCAGGCTTCTCTTTAAGTATGCTCAAATCCTATAGACATTGCTGATCTGAAAAATTACTAAGTATATACTAAATCCTTTGGCATGCAAGTGCCTTTCAGCCCTGAGGCTTAAATAATTTGTTTGAATTATGGCTATGAACCAATATGCAAGCACAGCAGCCACATCCAGGATATAATAAAATATTTCTTCATGACTTGTTTGTAGACAGAGAAAAGTAATAGGAAACATAATTTGTTTTTATTGCTGTTATTATTATTATTATTATAGATTTTATGGCACAAATATGTAAACAGAACTTTCTGGGAAAAATACCACCATGTGACGGGGCCAGCCAAAAGTGAATGCAGAAATTTCTCCCTTGGTTGTTCAGTAAACAATACTGTTAAAGTCAGTGGGGAGAACTCTTCACACCTTTTTTTTTTTTTTTCCTCAGTGGGAGGGAAGAAGGGGGGGAACTTTTGAGAAAAGGCTCAGAAGAAAAAAAAGATTCTCTAGAGGATTATTTTTGAGAGATCTTTTTTGTCCCCCCACTAAGACAACTGCAATCCTAGGAATCCAGGTATCAAGGTCAATGTAGTAGGAACAAATAATTGTCAAAGATCTGTTGATAAAACTGCTCAACATGACAGAATTGCTGAGACTCATCTCCTTCTCTTCTACCACACAGGTACCTCTCTTATGCACACAGGTTTTGACTGTGGTTTGGTTTTCATGAACAGTGGGATTTTTTCTCCCCAGGATGGAAAGTAAGAACCTCTTCCTAAGCCTATTGCTCTGCTACAGTTTGCTCAGAGCTGCCAGTTCTCACCTGGTAATCGAGGAGAAGACAGAATGCAACCTGTCAAAGAACAACAAAATGAACCTCCCAGATCTCCCACCCATCTCCATCGTAGGTTAGTAAAATTTGCCCTTTGATGCCAAATTAACAGGACTTGAAGAAAATGCAGCTGTTGATTAATATGGACTATTTAGATAGCTCACCACAACATTGCATTTCACACAGATGCCTTAGTGTTACGCAGAACTGCAGTGGCAATGCAGCCATGGGATTCAAGCATGGCAGTGTGGCAAGCCACAATTTAGTGTAAAAAGAACAACAACAGAAAAGCTGCCTTTAGATTTGCGGTTTGCACTGAGGTTCCTATCATACCATATGTCCTTCTGTATTCAAGAGCAAGGTTATTTCACTGATATGGGCATCAATCTTCCTTTGAAACTCCAGTGCAAATAGAAGTGAATATGAGCAATTTTTTTTATTTTTTTTTTAATCAACTCTTGTAGAAATCTGTTGATTTCTCTGCTGAGATATCAATATAACGTCAGTTTACCTGTGCCAAGTGATCTTTAACCCAGAGAGGAGAGGATTGCAAGGGAGCTAGAAGTCATCAATGTATCCAAGGCAGGACAGGCTATGCCCCTACCATTGCTGACAGGTGCCCATTGGTCCTGTGGTGAATTTTGTCAGACAATGCTTAACATTTTCCTCCACAAATATTTTTTCATAATCTCAACCTTGACGCTTTCAATGCAATTTTAGTCAGCTTTCAGTTCTCTCTTGAGAAACTTCTACTGTTCATCTCCCTCCTGCAGGCTTCTAGGACTTGTTCTCCAATCAAATAATTTTCTCACCTTTTATTTCCTCTGCCCTTTTACTCAAGGGCAATGTTTCTTTTAGGTGAGCCAGCTGTCCCACACAAGTCTCTCCAATGAAATCCAGATCTCCTTATCCCTGTGTTAATCAAGTTGGTTTAATGACACATTTGTTAAACTCGTGCCACACCATTCTGTGTTGCTTCTAATCCTACACTCCCCACACTTCCAATATTTTTTTTCCTTTACAACTAGAATCAGAATTATAAAATGCATTCCCTTTGGTTAACTTCTGTGTCTCCATGGAAAAACGTGGACATGCCTTGAGCATAGCAGATAGGTTACCATGCCATATTATTTTGCCAACAGACACTCAAGACAGGAAAAATCTCCTAATGCTATCAGGCCTTTTTGCTTTAGATGGCTCTGAAATGCCTCACAAAAAGCTCTCCTCCCTTTCTGCACACCTTCGTTCTCTGCAAGATCCACATCATCCCACCATGCTGTGGAAAAGCCCAGTTTTGCCACTTTCCCATTTTAGAGCCAGTAGAGAAAAGAAACAATTATCCAAAGTAAGAAAAGAAATTCACAGTAAACTAACATGGTAAATGTAAGCAAACAGTGTTCATCCTTCTCCTATATGCATGCAAAAACAACGAGCATTTAACACCCAAAATGAAAGAATGACTTCAAAGGTTTGTAAGCAGCTGGTCAGTTAGACAGCAGTTGAAAACACAGTAAATAAAAGATGAGGAATATGAAATCATTGGCAGGTTGGGAGAAGGAGGCATCATCTAAATACAAAAGGAAGAGGCAACTACAGTGTTCACCTATTTAAAAAATGTATTTTTATGTTTCCCTCTTGTCTGCCCACTGGGTAACATTATCTTCACCAAAATCTCTAGAATAACTACTGCATATTTTTGTTACACCAGTGTTTAAATCTCAGTTTAATTATATTGCTCCATCTTTAACTGAACATTATCAAAGCAATTTTATAAGCAAAGCATTCCAGAACAGTTGCAGACATAGAAAACCCGATTGTCACAGAATGGGATGTCAGTGAGGTATTTCAGCTATGAGCACAAAATTTCAAGGGGCAGCATAACAAAGCCAACACAACGTGCCAGATGAAACTGGAACTGACCAACCCACACCAGAGGGTGCAAGCCGTGCTCTTCTTGAGTGGCCTGAAATTCCTTATGCCTGAAATACAGTTTTTCCACCCAGTGTCACTTGATGATGGATGTGTAACCATAGCTCTGTAATGATGCTAAAATAATAAATGAAACTGCCAAGCAGTGCATTCTTAATTGCGTAATTCTGCAAATTCTGGTAATTATTAAGTGTTCAAAAAGGTTTGGGTAGCAAATTCTGGAACAAGCAAGCAGCCACCATTCATAAGTAGGCATATGCAAATCTTTTCATATCAATCAATCATGGATCTTACACTTAATCCAAAGTTCACGATGTACAAAAATACTGTGATAGATGAGAAGGGCAGCGTTCACTCCTTAACAGAAAACTCCTGCTGCGTTAGATCCCAAGGCAAGTCTTAATTATGGAGGTAACATCAAACAGTAATTCCTGTTAAAGGTGATATAATAATAAAGCTGATATTCCTCAAAGGATAATGTGAGAAATTTCGCAATGTTAGTGTTTTGACCTTAAAATAAAAGAAGAAACTTTACAAACTTCCATCACACAAAGTCTGAAATCTCCTCTCTAAAATTTACCAAATTCAAGAATCAACTCCAGCAACACACACAAACATTTAAAAGCTACAGGTGGGTTGATGAAACACCTTTGCCTTAGCATTTCACAAAAACAGACGCTAAGTAAAAAAGGAACAAGGTGAAGAATTCAAGGTGTTTTATGCCAAAACAGCAAAGAGCTTTTTGCTGATGGAACCAGAACAATAATTCCTGTCAAATTTGTGTAGGTAACACCACTTTTACAGAAGAAAACATGGAATTCTCACTGTTTTTTTCCTGTTTTTTTTTTTTTTAAAAATACAATTAATATGCATAAATACTCCAAGAGAATTTACTAACACAGAGCCCTTGGTTTGTTGTTCTTTTTTTGTTTGTTTGTTTTTGTTTTTGGATGCCTGCAGTGATGACGGCAATGCAGGTTATCTTGCATAAAAATATTATCAAGCATATCTGTTAAATAATATTTGCTGTAAGACTGATTTAATGTTATGTTTTGCTTTTCTTTTTGAAGATTTAACTAAAAGATCCCAGAAAGTCAGCAGAAAAGAGGCAGAGAATAAGAAATCTTCCAAGGTAGGCAGCTGTTCAGAAAATATTGTCAAAATAGAATGGTTTATTATTGCTATACTTCACCCCAGTGCACTTATCTAGAGAGTTTTTACAGTCATTCCATGACTTAACTTACATAAAGTTTGAAGCTTAATATTGTAAAATGAAAAGATGAAAAACATAATTGATGGGAAAAAAGCATGATTCTACATTAGTTACAGGTTATTGGGTTTTGGTTTTGTAGTTTCTGTTTTGCTTTATTTTACAATCCTCTTACAGAAAACCTAGCTTAGACTTGAGATGCTCGAGATGCAACACTATTCAGGTATTGGCCAAAAAAAAATGCCATTCCCAATCACAGCACGTGGGTCAGCTGTCCAAGCCCTGCAGCTAAGAGGCACAAACTCACTCTGCTCACTTTTAACTGCATGTGCCAAAACATTGAAGTAGAAGGATCCAAATAATTTGGTGTTCAGTTGAAAACATTACCTAGGAATTTTATCCCATCGTTTGGCTCAGATTGGTATTTTCAAGACTCTCTGAGAGAGTAGAAAATAGCATTTTTACTTCATTTTTCGGTTTGACGTGGCAGCTTCTTTGAAGCCAAGCCGGTCATCGCTACAACCAGCAACATTTAGAGTTTCCTTCTTTTCCATTCTAGTGTTTTGAATGGTCAGCCTTCTCTGAAACACCTCCTAAGCCCCCAGCATGACTCAGGTTGATAAAGGCCACAGGAGGTGCTGCTGTTCCCACTGCAGTTCTCAGCAGGTCGTTCTCGCAGTCAAACTCAAAGTACTCGAGCTTGACGTCTAAAGCACTTACAGACCACATCCAGTTTTGCCTTACAAATGAGACTTCTGGTAAACTTACCAATTCTAAAAGATTGCCTGGGGCACTCGTGGAAGGCTCCAGAAGCCTTGCCCAGGTCCCAGGCACATGCTAACCAGCCCCAGCTTTCCCCTCTTTCCAAATCAGAGGGAAGCAGCACCCCTCAGGTAGGCAAGACCTTTTTCAGCTCACTCACCTGTGTCTGCAGTTAAGGATTCCCAGATGCAAATCTGATGCACAAATGATCGCTGAGCTCTAAAAGCAGCTTGACAAACAAGCTGGGCATCCAAGAGTAATTAATTACCTTGTTGAACCTGTAATAACGTCATCCTTAAAGATTCTTGCTCTGTTTTCTTTGCTGCTGCTGCATTCTTCCACACAGTGTATTTTGCAAGGTCTATTCAGTCACATTTTTAGGCACTCATAATAGGAGTGCCTGTTGCCTACGCTGCACATCCATAGGCAGTGTGCCATTCTGCTCCATAGGTAATCCAGCAGTTCCCATAGCTCAGTCCCACCACATCAACTCCATGCTGCTACTTAATTTGGGTCTCACTGCCATCTCAAGCCAGAAGTTCCCACAGTTCACTTTCTTTGCATCCGTCCCTTATCCTGACCCATAATTGTTCTGCATTTGTATTTATTTTCATGTTTTTGTTCCAGAAAAATGCTGAACTGAAGAAACCTCCAAAACCAAGGCCCACACCTGCTGCTGACTGCGTGCCAAACTTCAAAACCTGCAAACCACACTTGAATTCCTGCTGTAACTACTGTGCCTTGTGCAAATGCCGAATTTTTCAGACGATCTGCCAGTGTCTACTGTTAAACCCAAAGTGCTAAACCAAATCAGGAACATATTAAGGCTGCTGTCTTTCATTAGCTTCTCAAGTGTATATGTCAAACTGCCTAATGCATGTAGCAATCGAAGTAGAGAGCTTTGAAGCTGGTAGGTTGGATTTGTTTCTCTTCAATGGACAATTATTTTCTTCATGGGGTTGATGCTGTCATGAACAAAATGAGGTTTTTAGGAAGGAAGATAGACTTTGAACAGGCATTCTTGGCAAAACTAACTTGCATTTAAGGAGAATTCTAGGTACTCGGTGTTTGGGAATTTTTAGGGTTGTAATTTGTTTTTTGTCTGTTTGCTTGTTTTTCTTTTTTGGTTGGTAACTGGGTTTTTTGTTCTTTTCTTTGAGAAGGGTTTTATTAACGAAACATTTCAATATATCTAACCAGCACTGCAAAACCTGCCTACAATCAACCACACTGAAAAAGGACTTCTCAATCTCATGTGAGACCAGAGCTTAGGTTTGCCCTCAAGGACAGCACAGCACAGGCTTCCAGCAGATCCAATATGGAAAGCTGAAAGTGCAGGTTTCCTGGTTAACTCCCCTCTCATACATTCCACAAAAATTAGGACTAAAATCTTTGTAGGTTACTCTAGCTGAAGGCCATAGCAGCAAAGTTTGTCTCGAAACAAACATCTTTCTCTTTTTGTGGAAGCTCTGTGCCTTAATACTGAGTTATCCCAGATGACATAGCAGAGAGCCTTCCCTGGCTGAGCTACCAGGAGAAAGGTCATAGCAGAGCAAGGAGGGAGCAGACCTAGCAGTGCCCAACATGAAGACTATTCATCTGCCAGACTCCAGCTCTCCTGCTTTCCACCTTTTCTGTTCTGCATCTGCCGTATTCCTCTCTTTCCCAGAGTGTATGCACTCTTTTTCCTCCCATGGGCCTCTTGATTTTAGTCTTTTCCCTTCCTCCACCATTATGGTTAGTCACCTGAGGATCCCTGAATTTTCTAATGCTCTGCAGTTCCAATTTGAAGGAAATTTCTCAGCTGATTTATTTCTAAGAGCAGCTGAGGGCTACAAAATCTTCCAGGCGGGCAAAGACAATATAGACGATAAATAGTCCCTAAAGTGGCTCAAGCCTTCAAACATCAGTTCAAAGCCCAGAGCTTTAAATGTAGGCTGGGTGTTGACAGAAATGTCTGTTCACCTTCTTAGAGAGATATACAGTTGACAGAGAGTTTAATCTAAGAGCCTGAATGTCGCAGGATGTCACTCTGTTCCTCATCCAGCTGTCATGGATGATGCAAGTTTGAATTCTTTTAAATATGTGTTACTACTTCTTTTAATCAGATATCCTGGCTCAGGAATCCATGAGCACAAAGAACTCCGTGGCACAAAGAGCATGAGAAGAAATACAACATGGTGGTGGGTTTGGGAACAGAATTTGACCCCTTCTTTTCCTAGGGAAGCCGTACGTTCTTGACAAGCTGTTCCAAAGTTTTCATAAGAAGGTGACCTCAGTTGATATTAAAATGATATCCATAATCACACAATTTCTACCGTGGAAACAAGTGCTTGTCTAATCACAAGAGGCCACAGAAACTGTGCTCTAACAGGATGAATGGAAGCAGTGGAGGAAATTGAAAGAAAGGGGGGCAAAAGTCCAACAGCATGTGCTGTTCTCTCAGCAATAACTCTCACTTCTGCTTGGCTGTCTGCTGAGGAATTGGGCAGTACTGAGACCCAGGGTGAGGAGTGAGAGACATAGAAGCTGACCCAGCTTATCCAGGGCACGAAAGAAGAAGACAGACTATTCCACATAAGAATAATGAGATTTGTTGTGAAACATACAGCACTTCCTTTATAATACAGCATTTATGCATAGTGTGTTTTGACAGATTCGGTTTATTAATAAACCTTCCTTTTGTTTGTTGGAATTCATTGAGAAGAGATGATGCTTTCTTTGCCATTGATCTATCACACCAAATAATACATACAATCAGGTACTCTGAAATCATTACTAACCTACTTTTCTGGCTAAAGATCACATTGCAGGGAGGGTAGGATACAGAAATCAGTAAGATACATACATACATCTACCATTTGCTTCCTGCATTTAATTTGAACAAGTATTTATGCTAAAGAGTTGGTTTTATATGTGAGAGTGCCCTGAGGGAGATGTCATCAGCACAGAGATGGTAACACATACGCATGACAAACGCAGAGCGTTTAATTTTGTCACATAGCAAAATGTCTTCACAAATAACTCACTGAAATATAAGTTTAAGAACAGACCCAGTAATGCTCTGAGACACAGAGAAATCTCACTCCTGGAGACCAATGGAAATGTTATCTTGATTGCAACTGAGTACAAATAAATCATTATTAGCTATTCCAAATATTGCCTCTCTTGTGGGAATTTAAAACAGTTATGATGTTTTCCCATCTCAAGGTCCAACTTGATTTCTTACTGTCAACTTCAAAGACCAGAAAATCCAAGTTGATCTGGGTGGCTAAAACAAATGCTAGAATTAACATCTGAATGACTACCAGCTCCAATACCTCAGTAATTAGCTGGTGAAGCTGTGAAAGTGTTGGGAGACCCCAAAAGGAAAACAAACAACTTCTCACGTTAGTCTGTAGGATCTTCTCAATAAAACCTTTTCCAAGTTGTCTGTATATGAGTCAGCACTATCTGTGACACTGCACCAGCTGAGCATAATGAGAGCTTTAACAAACACCTTTTAGACAGAGAAATAAGGCTGACTTCATGATAAATTAGGCGAAAGAGAATGCTATGGAGGCTGTGATCAAAGTAAGGAGCCAAGAAGTACTTGCATGTGCCATGCCCAAAGCTGTCTCTGTAGAAGCTCTATTTTATGTTGCAAAAATTACATCATGTTAGCCCCATGGAACATGCTTCTCAGAGTACTGTGAGAGTGACCATTTGTGAGAGACCTCAGCCTTAAATCGTACAATATGTGTGAGTGCAGGCATTAAATAACATCTAAAGACAATGCAAAACAATACTAAATCGTGAGGTTTTTCATCAAAGCCTTTCAAGCTGAATTAGACCACTCTACGTCCAGAATTGACTCTGTGAACATTAAACAGACAAATTCTGGATTTGTTCACATCCCAAGCCCTATTTAACTCAGACACTTAGGATTTGTAGAATCAGATGTAAAATTTTTTAAAAACTCTGCTAACAAACACATAAGAATTTCTGCTTTTTTCTACCACTTAACTTTGAACATCCACCCTCCTGGACAACTTCCCCCACACAGAGATCTCCAGATGAGAGTAAAAGATACACAATTGCTATGGTTACAGCACTGCAAAATCAAATTGCCACTATAGTATCTGGAGCAGATCTGTCACAATTTCCAAAACTAAAACTGCACGTTTAACAGCTACTTCTTTGCAAACAGAGACAATCTTTGACTTGTTTGCATTTTATTTAGTAGTTTACAAGATATAACTGACCCTTGCACGAGATGCAAATTGCCCTTACCACTGCCCCTGTTTTCTTTTCTAACAATATGGATGAGACGGTCCCACATCTTACACGATGGGCATCCCACCAGCTGTTCTGAACTTTGGGCCACTGATGGTTTCCCAATGCTCGCATCAATCTAGATCCTCCTACAAGGCCTCTTGTCCCTCCAGGGATCAGCACCACCTCTCAGATCTGTGCCATCATCAGACGTGCTGTGGATGCATGCCTGTGTCCAGTTAGTTGATAGAAATGTTGGACAGGACTGGCTCTAGAGTTGAGCCCCAGAGAACACCTCTGGTAACTGTACACAGCCAGATGTAGCCCCATTTACCTCTCGAGCTCTTGCATCGAGTCAGTTCATCACCCAGCACAGTATGAACTCGTTTGTTTCACAGTAGGACAATCCATCCAGAAGGGTGCCATGAAGAACTGCATCAAAGGCCTTACCAAAATCTAGAATAGTGACATCTGCTGCCTTCCCTTCATCCACCACTGACCAATGCCCACTCAGTCATGGCAGTGGCCATATCCCCAGTAAATGTCCCCAGTTTTATCATTCTGAATGACACCTTGTGGCATGGAATGTCCCTTTGGCCAGTTCATGTCAGCTGTCCTGGTTCTGCCCCCTCCCAGCTCCTTGCACCGCCCCAGCCCCCTCACTGGCAGGACAGTACAAGGAACGGAAACTTTCTTGGCTCTGTACAGCATCATTCAGCAAATCTAAAACAACACTGTGTTATCAACACTGTTTTTTTCCTAAATCCAGATCATACAATAACTACAAGGGAAATTAAGCCTAGCCCAGCTAAAACCAGGACAAAATGTTGGTATAGAAGCTCCTGAAACTGCAGCCACTCTGGATCAGCACAGATTCTCCCATTTGCCTCGTCATTCTCTAACAGCACTGCGTCATCCCTTAATGTAACCTCAGTGTTCTTAATGGTATTCCCTTCCCCAGTCAGTCCTAGTTTAAAGCCCTCCCCATCCGTCTTGCCAGGTTACGGGTCAAGCAGCATTTCCCCCATTGAGACAGGAGGGTCCCTGCAGACCTTTCAGCCCAAAGCCTTTTCCATGGTTATACAATTCAGAGTTCTTGAGTTGTCTTGAAGCCAAGCACCTGAACTCGCCTGTTTCTTTCCCTGTCTCTCCTTATTAGTGGGGGAAAACACTGTCTGTGCTCCAGAGTCCTTTAGCTGTCTCCCCAGGGCCTTGAAATCTCTTTTGATAGACCTCAGGCTTCCTGCAGCTACATCATTGGTACCCACTTGAAAGAGGAACGGATAACAGTCCGAAGGCTGTCTTATGCTCAAAAGCTTCCTGGTAACATCCTTGACCCGAGCCTTGATGAGGTCTGGCCTGCAGATGGGAGCCCTCATTCCCCAGAGGAGGGAGGGAGTCACCTATGAGAACAACGCGCCTTCACTTCTTCGCAGCATTGGTTTTGATGCTGCACTTATTGCTACAAGGTCACACCTTGGAGGGAGAACCTGCACGAATGCCTCTTCCTCTTTTCACAACCCCCATCTGCCAGAGCCTCATACCTACCC